CAGCAGTGGGAGAATATAAAATTGTTCTGTTGACGGTACTTATGGCATAGTGGTACTGCAGTATTTGCATTGATTAGGTGGATTCATCGAACACGGTGTAATCATTAATGACGACGAATTGAAGTGTTCGCTGTTCCTTCAGCTGAGTCGGCATATTCGATGAGATCATGACAGTTGGAGTTGAAGTTGTTCTGCATGGACTTGTAGGAGCAGAGATTGATCTGTTAAGGGTGAACACATCAGTGGGCGAGGTACTTGGCTCAATTTGGCGATAAGAAGTAGTTGAAGTGAGAACTATTGTTGGTAGAGATGAGTTAAGTGTACGTCTCCATTTTAGCATGTATAGGCGCTTACAAACCGCACCGGCGGTGCGGTTGCCAATGGTTTCAGCGACAAGAGCGAAGAACTGTTTAGGTGTGAGTGAAGGAGAGTCAAGACATCTGGCACTTGAAATCAACCGAGTGTCTTCTTGAGAAGACCAGGTTTGAGGCTTTGAACGTATATACGGTGCTGATCTAGTAGCATAGCTTTCGTGTGATGATTCAGGTGAGGATGGAGTCGAATACGAACCAATGTTTGATGCAGAGTCCGATGATGACGGGACAAATGTCATCCATTTGAGTGTTTGCAGACGGCGTTTGATGGCTTCAACTGAGCGATGTGGCAGATGGTCGCGTAGGTGTTGATACAGTTCGGCTTTGCTGTTGAATCGATCAACTGCTGCGTCTGCTAACATCAGTAGGGTGAGTTCTTCATCTTGGCACCAACTTCATCGTGTTCGACGGTCGTTGAGGAGGCGACCGAGAAGGACCTCATTGTATTCGGCGGAGTGAATTTAACGCAGATGTTGAGATAAACCTCTCGGAGAAGCGAAGTTTGAAGGACAGTATATACACAAGTGTCTTGGAGACACAATTGGGGATAGGGACTGATTGGAGCTCGTGAAGTGAGGTGATGATGGATTGGATGTGATGGGCGAAAGATGAGCTGCTGGCAGTTGGGAGATGAGGATAGGAAAACAGGAGGCTGTTTCTTTGAGGGTCAGCTTAAACTACGGCAGAGGCCATGGATTATGATGAGGGTTGGCTTGAGATAGCTGACATGACTGGAGAATGCGGTATCGCAGGCTCGAGTTTGGAGGACAACCACCGTGGACTGTTAGTTGTGCCACGGACCGTTCATAGGCCCTCACCCGTGGCTTGAAAAACCAAAATAAACAAAACAAACAAAAATGAAGAACAAACGAAAAAAGTACTACTGTAGAAGACTCCACGTAATTGCTTCGGGATTGAAGCAGAGAAGAAGGCCGTAAATGAATGAGGGGAAGGACGTGATTTGAAAGAGTCCACTTTCTAAACCAATACGAAGGAGATGCAGAGTCAAAAAGGCCATAGATCAAAAGAGCGTGAAGAGAGGTGTCGAGAGATACCAAGAACAACAGAAGAAGGTGAAGAAATATGGAAGTTACAACAATTCCAGAGAGGCGACAATGATGACGTAATGGGGGACGTCGATTTTTAAAAGTCAAAACTGCGAGAGATAGTGTCAAAATGGTTATCAAACCACAGATCTCGATGAGAGGAGTCGAGGGATACCAAGAACAAAGAAAAAGGTAAAAAAAATATGGAAGTTACAGAGGGGACCTCACAACTTTTACACAAACGATACGAGTGTGAGGCTTTTAGGTCAACAGGGTGAAAAATGATGGGAGTTATTTTGGATGGTTCAGGGCAGAGATATTTGGACAAAGAAGAAAAAGACTGAATAAATCTGGAATACTAGGGGTGAGATTAGGAGAGAAAATGGAAAAAGGCCTCGTGGAGGGAAGGCGAAAGGTGATGACGGGATAAAAAGTGGCCTCAGTCTTACTAGATAGACCAAGTGGAATTAAAAATAAGGACTGGTGGTGTCACTGTCACTAGATCGGAGAATCGTTTATGGAGAACAAGGTACTTTTTCGACAAAAATAGCTGAAGGTACCAAAAACAAAATGGTGTGGAAGAGAAATGAACAAATAATGGGGATAAAATAGGTATCAGTAGATTCACCTCGGAGAGCTGCAACTGATAATTACAATTTCAGAAAGTTAGAATGAGATGCACAAGAAACAGTAAGTGAAAATATTGGGAATTCACTGTTTTCCAGTCAGATCCTGGAACTTAACAAGCAAAATTCGTGAGTTGAGGTAATTCCTTGATAAAAAGTAAAAATAAAAAGAGCGGGTTCGAGGACTGGTAACATTGTGCGAAAATCAATGGAGAAAGAACTTATAGTTCAGATGAAACTAACGAAAAAGAAAAAATTCCGAAAGTCAGGGTTTAAGGTAGGTTCGGACTATCACACTGTTGAGGGATGGAAACTTCAGATTTTTTCTATAATCAAAACTAAGTCAATAAAAATAAACTAATAAGAACAAAAACGACAGCAAATAACTGATAATAATCCTCTTATTGGGGTAATAAAGATGCTTAAAAGGGGCAACTTGAATCAAGGGTAGATTTCGTCATAAAATAACTACAGATATAGCGCCAAAGAGATGATATCCAACGTAAAACTTCGAAAAATTGCATAGACTCAGAGAATTGAGCCTGATACATCCCATAAAATATACATCCAAAACCTGCAGAGGGCAGGGTCAGTAAAAACAGAGTTTATACAATAATTCCAAGGCGTAAATGTACCTCTAATGTATTTCTATGTGTAGAATGTGAAAATTCGAAAGTTGCTGGCAGATATTGTGTGTAAATAGCTTGTTTACGGTATAAAAGAGTTCAGACGCAAATGTAACGCAAGCAATCATCTTGCACTCCGATTTGGTCCCGAAATGTCTTTCGTAATTTGGACGACCAATTCTTGTGTTTTGCTTGCGTTCTGTCTACGCGGAACGAATACCATAGAAGTTGTGAGTATTAGATCTTGCGTTAGGATAGCCACACATGAACACTAATTTTTGTTTGTATCAATGGGTTGCATTGACTTTTAGCAGTTAAAACGCAAAAGTGCAGAAGCATGGATTCGATATCAATAATATTCTTTGATTCCCGGGACAGAAATAGGTTGTGTATAACAACTGATCAGAAAATTTACAACCGAATACAGGATGCCATCAGGCTGCAAATAAATTTTTCAGAAGCCAGTCTTCGAAATGCACGCGAAGCATACGCAGTTCAGCAAATAATCATTACATGAACAATATATTTAGTCGTCCTGCTGCGCGAAAATACGTTCGTGCTTAAGGACAATATCAAACAACAGTTTTCATATAAATTCACGCAAAAAAGCCAAATAAGCACCGAAATAACATTGACTTCATTTGCCTATACAGGACAATGCAAACTAGCAACAACTCAAATGAATTAAACTGCGCAAATGCTGGCAAGGTGGACAAATGGGGTATATGCCATATTATCACCCATTAGTCGCTTTGGTGAATATATCTGTGGCGCATGGTGTGACTCCCCCATAGATTGTTTATGGAGTAACCGGTAGACATTCTTACAGCCCATAAGAGACAGTTATCCATTATAATATTATGTTTTTAATGTGATTTAACATATTTTTCTAACTATTATGCGATGTTTTGCATCATAATTCAGGATGGTTGTCCAGGCTTAGGTTGGGCTTTGACGTGATAGGTCAAACTCGTCTTGATTTAACTGAAATAAAAATATTGTACTGGGTGATGTTAAGATTTTGAGCCTAGTTTCCTTGAATTAAAGAGCACGGCTGAAGTTTCGTGTATGTAAAGTGTTTTGTTCAGGGAGTACTTTCGGACAAAATATGCAACAACCTCCCGGTGAGCAGTCATCTTTCCTAATGTCCGTCAGCTTTAGTTTTATGGGATCATCATAGCTGGTATTCATGATATTGCACCTTGAAGGATAACATTACGGATCCATATGACAGGTCAAATTTAGCTGGAGATTGTTACTAAAGTATAGTTTCCGTTATTTGAGTCTCTGTTCACTCTGTCTAATGCTCAGGCCAAGAAAGCTCACGCGTTGCCACATGGCTTTTCAACCTCTCTTCAATAACTTATTTGGTGGCACAGTAGCTACTAAAGCCAACTTTGAGTTACATGAGAGGCAAACTCAAAGAGAATAGTGGCTGGAACGTACTACAGTTTCGGGTAAGTTTTCATGGGTTACCACGGAGGCGCTCGTAATGGCTTTATTATAGTCACCATATATGTGACTCTTTAGTGGTCTAAACGATCATCATTTGGTGATTAGGTGTGACACGAACTCCTTAGCGCACATTTTTCGTACCATTCACTTTGAAGGACTTCGAATTCCTTTGCTGTTGTCAGTTGCCTCCTTCTAGAGAGATTGGTGTCTCCTCTGAAGGGTAGCAAAGTGACGATTCTGTACCCCTCGGGATGGGATCACAGGCAGATTTTTAAAAAGATCTTTGACATGAATATGCTCAAATGTCCAGTTATGGAGTGGGGAAAATAGTATGCTATGGTGACATCCTTCTAACACCTGGCACTATCGCCAGAGTCCAGCTTTTGACTGGTATGTCGACTGCACCTTATTGACATGCAGTAAACGCTACCACCTTTGATATGCCTATCTGAAAACTGAAAGATATTCAGTTGATCCGTGCCAAGTCTACGAAAGTTCTTGACTTACTTGCAGTTTGCATGCACCAGCCACTCTTTCTGTGGCTCTTAAAATCTGTACACAACAGGTGCAACAGGAAATTTATCATTTATCCTATATGTCATTCAGGAGAAATGACTTACCTTCATTATGTACAGTTATACATAGTCTCTTATCTGTATACTGAAAACCAATTAATATTCTGTCATTAGATCGTATCCACCATGACGAGCTATGGAAAACATGTGTGCTTCTCAGAATAACGTTCGATGCAGGTTATCGAAAGATTCTAAATGTATGAAATATAGGAGCACAGAAAACGTTTTACATACTTTAAACAAACTACTTGGTGACCTTTCGTGACCTCTGCCAATGTCGCACAGTTTGATATAGTGGATGTCGATACTAAAATCCTTCCTTAAGAAGTTTAAGGCTGCTGATGAGCCTAAGAAGAAATCATTTTCAGATGGGATTGAAAGAAACGTCAATCCATCTGATATATGGGAAATTATCTCGGAGCTTGGAGATGGTGCATTTGGGAAGGTTTATAAGGTTTGTTGTGATTGCCTTATTTAGTATCTCCAGACTCGCAAACGTGATAACGAGTTATGTGCCGCCTTAAAGAGGGTGGAGTTTGACTCTGAAGATGAGCTTGAGGATTTTATGGTTGAGATAGACATTCTGACCAACTTCAAACATAAAAATATCCTTTCACTACACGAAGTTTACATATACGATAGCAAGCTATGGGTAAGTGTTTTCCTTCACACTCATATTTGAAGATGTATCTGGAACTTTGTGGGGGTGGTGCCTTAGATTCGCTCATGGAAAAGCTTGAAAAACCTTTAACAGAGCCACAAATAAGATTTATTTCTCATGAGGTCCTCGAAGGTCTTGGGTTTTTGCACGAGAACTTAATTATTCACAGAGATATGAAGGCTGGGAACATTTTGCTAACAGTTAATTACGAGGTCAAACTTGGTAAGCATTTGATTGTTTTTATTATTAAGTGCTATTGTGTAATTGACGTTAGCTCTTGACCAACATTAGCACTTAAATTAATTGACGGTTGCCTCTCTCCTAGTCTTGACATCAACGAACATGCACATGTAGCATATAGAAATATGAATTATAGTAACGAGATCCGGGCCTCCTTAGACTCGTAGTCTTAGGCTTAGTTTACTTGTCCATGTTTTGCCTTCCTACTTTTGATTTTGATTTTGTGAAAAGCTTCGATTTTTGCACTCGTGTACTGTTCATGATAAATTTACACTAACTAATTTTCATGGAAAGCTGTAGTAGAAATAAGAATGTTGTCTTCCTTATATAACATGCAAAAGGATAGCTATTTTTTGTCGATTCTTGTGTCTACTAAGCTCCTGCTAGTTACGTGGTTTCCATTATGTAAAAATTAAGGGATTCGATTTCAGAGATTTGGTCGCATATTATTTACCTGTCTTATTCTACAAGGGACCGAAGTTACCCGAATAGTACTTTTATTTATGTCCTTACTTATGTTAAATGTGATAGGATTCACTAGGTTTTTAAAAGAAATTCACCTAAGTATATTAAAAGTATTACAGTGGTGAGGTGGGTAAACGTTGTTGAATCATAAGTTTATGCAATTCATTGGTTTGAATAAATCAGTAGGACACAACCATTTTGATCAATTGTAGCTAAAACCTTATCTTACACCCTGAATAGACCGATTGCAGTGTTCTTTTGCCTTTAAATATTGTTATCATTGATTATAACAATGGACTTTCAACTAATGTTACAAAGCCTATTTAATCGGCTTCTCTTGGAACTATCAAGTAATACAGTGTATGTGGCAGTCCATTACTGTCTAACTATTATTCCGTGAAGGGGTGGGGATCTTGTGGTATGTTGTGTATTTGTAACATCAGTTTCGAAACCTTAAATTACCTAACAAAAGATGGAAATGGGAAGTTTTCCCTGAGTAATCTAAAAACAACCATATAAGTAGGTTCAGGACTTAACTTACCGTGTCATCACTTCAAACGTTTCCGTTAAAATCTTATTGTGCTAGTACTACCTAAATTAACCGCTAGAAGTATAACAACTAAATGTATAACAATATTTTCATAATTAGCCTTTGTACCATATTGCTATTGTTAGTGCATGGTCCACATTTTGGTAGCTTGTGTAGAAGCCACACACATTGAGTTGTACTTGTCTAATAACGTTTTTAAGATGATTCTTGTTGTAGATATTTTCTATGCTGATAACTTTTAAAGTATTCTCAATAACAAATATCATTAAAAGAAATTCTTCTTGATTAACAGCTGATTTTGGAGTCTCAGCAAAGTTGGCAGACGAAAGACAAAAGAGATCAACATTTATTGGAACTCCTTACTGGATGGCTCCAGAGGTTATCACTTGTGAGACTTTCAAGGATGCCCCTTACAACTGGAAAGCTGACATTTGGTCTTTCGGTATGTTTCTCATAATTCTTATGCATTAATTATATAATGATGCTAACTGTATCCAACCTGTGTCTTTATTAACAAAAGTATGATTTATCCTACTTGGTGTTATAGTCGGTTAGTAAGTTTCTTGGTGAATAATTACTATTACGAAGTACTTTGAAAGGTGTATATTGTTTATGGATGTCACACGTTTTCGGCAGTTTTATTATTGTACCGTACTTCCACTGAAAGTACTATAACTTTTGAGTGCCCCAGGTTAACCGAAGGAAGTCATGAACCCAGGTGTCGTGCACGTTGCCACTCGTTGATGAGGCATATCTGCAGTCTCGGAAACTACATCCACTCTGAGATTAAATATCTTTGTGATACACCTGCTACTCGAGCTGTGATTAACTTCTTTTAGGATTGTGTTGAGTACATTAATTGATCTATGTTCTATGTTGAATCCAGACAGACAGACAGACATTAATTGATCACTAGAGTAACCAGTACCCCGTCGTCTATTTTTTAGCACTAGCTGGTTAACTTCTCAGTGTGGTCGTCTAAAAAGATAACTTGCTACTAAAACCTTACTGCCGGTTGCATACAACCACCTAGTTTCACTTTAAAACTTACCACGATTATGAATTTAAGCTCGATAATCACATTACAAGTTTGACTACCAAAATTCATTTGGCTTGAGGAACTGGACAAAATGATATATATATATATATATATATATATATATATATATTGCGAGTAAATGTCCGTCGGTGACACAGCAGTAAAATGCTCGCTGACCACGCGCATGTGGTCCGTGGTTCTTTCCCCGGCCAACACACTGCTTTATATATTTTTTTATATTTTTGATTTACAACTTGATTCCACACTGTATTTTTGGTACAAGTATGGAATTTTCAGCATGGATATCAGTAGCCCAAATTTCGCAGGCCGACCATAGATATCAGGTGTGCGTCGGTAGGGGATCGAACCTCGGACCATGTGCATGGTGGGCGAGAGTCCTAACCACTGTGCCACCGACGCACAATCTCGCTAAGCTGGTGGTATGGCTGGCAAAGAGGGCGGGTTGGGCACGAGGCTAGCAACCCCATCCTGTAAAAATAAAGACCATTGCTACTGAAACTTCAAAGCCCACGAAGATTGAAGCCCTATGTTCCACTGGGAATGTAAAGGAATTTTTAAAAAATTACAAGTAAAACATAATATGTCTCAATTTTCATCGAAGCAACAAATGCATTCTTTTTTCGTCAAGTTGAGAATTGAGTCGCATAAAATCATCTATTTTACGACTTAAAAAACATGTACGGCTTTTAAGTATTTCGACTAAAAAAAGTGTAGGTGTGAAGTATTTCTGAAAGCATTTACTCTGAAAGGATTTTAAATTACCGGATGAAAACTGCATATGAACCAACTTCTTCTTTTTTGACGTCGCCTGCCTCATTCCACTATCCATTCTTTTATGCAATTGATAATAAGGATGAAGGAATTCCTCATTTATTGAATACTTGGTAATTTTATGCGGTATAAAAGTGTTCACTTGACTCATTTACTGTTGTTTATTGTTACTTAATGAAGTGTGCCTAGCATTTTCAAGTTCGTGGACAGAGTTCTTATTAAAACACATTAGAATGAGCCATAGTTTTTCGATTAAATTGATTTGTAAAGGAATGCTGACTTTAAAAAAAGCCTGGCTTATATTTCCTTGTGATTAGAAATATAAATGTAACTGAAACGTACGTATAGTACATAAGTTATATATTTCTGTGTCTAAAAGTTTTATAACCGTCCTATTCACGTACCAACAAAACAAATATATTCTCACAGATATATTCTAATGGTACAAGAATGCCTACTTTCCAAAAGTCGATTACGTCGTAATCATTAGGCATAATGAACATAAAGGTTCTGTTATTGTGTTGAAACTTAGTCACTTAGAACGGCATTTCATGTAATATGCTAATTCGATATTAAGCAAACTGTAAGATCCAACAGAAAAAGGAGATAAGATTAATACCATTTACAAAATAAATTGTAGGAACTGTAACAGGCATTAAATCGATCAAAGTGGGCGTCCCCTTCGAATGAGAATCCAGGAACACAAGTCAGCTGCGAAAAGACACGATATATATTCTTTCATATCAATACATATAGACAATTATGGACATCATTCTGATTGGGATAATGTCGAAATCTTAGACAAGGAAAACACCAAAAGTGCCAGGGAATTTCTAGAAGCCTGGTACTCAAACGAATATACAATTAACAAACACAGCTAATATAGACCATATATTCCAACTAATAAAAACTAAATCATGTGACGAGAAAGTTTAAAATCGAAGTCAATAGCAAATGATCAATACATATGTGAAGATAGTTACTGGGAGACGCAATTCTATCACTCATGAAGAAATTTAAATCAGTTCACTTTATGCTAAAAATGGCGCTGAAGATGTTGTCCAGAAGGATGACTAAAGCTCTGCGGCTAAACCAAACAGCTCAGAGTACACTATTAATTGCAAATATGCTATGCACCACACTTATTCTATGAAGGCTGGTGATACTCCTCCAGTCACCCAGTTTGAAGCCAATTTCCATTACGGCAACGATTGGCTGCATGTAGATACCCAGACCGGAGTAGATAGTTGTCTCAAGCTACTACCGCCGAAACCTTTGACCTGAAGTCTTATTTACAAGGTAGTGGAGCAGCGTCAGTGGAGTTGCGTTCTCATGGTTTCCAGTATCCAAAACAAGTTCAAACACTTTTTGGTCTGTTCGGATTCTGGAGCCCATGTACACACCATAAGTTTGGAATCAGGGTTTTTCAGCTCTTCTAGGTAGGCCTGCATGTCCATTCACATTCGGTCTTCCACTGTCGTAAGGAACACCCCATTCCCTGTCGTGTGAAAGTAATGAATAGGACTTCCATGGCAGACGTTATGAATGCATTGCCATATGAGAGCATTTCGAGTGGACAACCGAAATCTACTCCTCCCACCTCCTTGGCCGTACCAGGTCTGCTATGATAGATATAGCTCAATGCTTTGTATATAAATCTGCATGCAGTGAACGAGTTGAATTCATTATTATTTTATTTTCCATAAATGAAGTACATTTGAATTCATATTTTGAAAAAAAAAACATTTTATTCGATAAGTAACATAGTTTGATCATTGCCACTTTGTAGTCATGTATAACTTCATACAAAAAAAAACTGAATAATAGTGTACACACCTTTCACCCAAGTGACAAACATACTCTATGTAAATGAGTTTTCAAGTTCGTTGTTTTTGAATTTTAATTAGTTTAGATATTTCAAAGTAATATTTTGTTATATTTATATTTTTGTTAACCTTATCTAGGTATAACTTTAATCGAATTGGCTCAAATGAGACCACCTCATAATTCAATTAATCCAACACGTGTCCTTTTAAAAATTTCTAAATCAGATCCACCTGTATTATCTAAACCACATTTATGGTGAGTAGCGTTTTATGTATCCTAGGGAAATTATTTTTTTTAAGATTTAGTTTATTATCTTTCTTGTACGATTACTGCATGTCTGTGATTGCTTATTTTGCAATTAGTTGTGTACTCTGAGCTAGCTGGTTGGTTTAATCGTGGAGCTTCCGTTGTCCTTCTGGACGACATCCCCTTTTTCAGCGTAAGTCTTAGCATAAAATCAACTGATTTAAATTCTCCATGAATGGTAGAATTGTGTCTCCTGGCAACCATCTTTGCGACTGACAGTAGTCGATTGACATCCGTATTGAATCAGTTCATTTTATGCCAAAACTTGCGCTGAAGATGTTGTCCAGAAGGACAAAGAAATCTCTGCAAATAAACCAACCAGCTAGCTCAGAGAACACAACTAATTGCATATCATCCACCTGATCTACAAATATTCTCTGTTATCTCAAGTTTGTTCATTTTACATTGATACATCTCAAACAGTGGGCGGTTTTATCAACTAATCAGCTCTAGTGTCAGCAGGAATACAGAAAAAAAAACTGCTGACGTAATGCCAAAGATTATAGTTCTCTAATGTGAGTTAAACAGCTATCCTATATTTCCATTGCTGTGATACCACTAACTGAATTTAAGAATCAGAGTAATCGGTTTCTAACTTCTGATGCCATCCAGGAATGTTTTTTGTTTGTTAGTTTGTGGTAATTTTGTCACAGATCACAGTCCTTTTCCTTTAATTAACATTTTCGTATAAAGTTTTAAAAACATAAAAATTGCCTATCCGAAGCTTACTGTTTTGACCACAGATGTTTGCGCTCCATTTGGTGAGTAGTATCGAGATTAGGCGTAGAATGTTATGTAAGCAGAAATAGTCAATCGTTGAGGTTGTGAAGCTATATCCATTCATGTGGCTGGAACACAATTCACATGCTTAGCCAGCTGGCAAACGATTAGGTTGGGAGAGAGTTAATGAGTGGGGAAAACCAAAAGTTGGCATCAGTTCATTACAGTTGGTTTGAGGTATAAACTGTGTCTTGCATCCATGAGATGTCAAGAACTGTTGGTGAAATAGCTCCGAACCGTTGTCATCGCCCTCCTCGACGGGCACTGTTACGTGAATAGGGTCAGGTTGGGAAAGACGAGCTAGTGGTGGTAAAACTAAAACACAAGTTACTTCAAGCCAGCTGCCATGTAAGGAGGTGTAGACTTCCTGACTGGTTGTAGTCCCCGGGACGGTAAATATCAATGGCGGTTGGAGACAATCGATGATATGGCTGGCTCAAAATCGTTCTCAGTGGGTGGTGCAGATGCATCCACTTCTTGTGACTTATAATACCCAATGAAATTATATTGTTCTTCTATATTACTATTCTTTTTGCCTCATCTCTGTTTACTGTCCCTATTTTGCATTTCTTTTTACTTTCTTCTTCTTCTCTGGCTTTGTGTGCTGAGTGAAGTGTGGCGGCTCAAACTGCTGTACACCAATGCAAAGTTCTGTGTTGAAAATAGACAGACAGACAGAACCGTTGTCAACAGCACAGATTCATTAAAACCCCATGTTTTTCCATGATGCTATTCTGTCTACCATACAATTCCTCTCATTTTATTCTTTTTGAGTTTTTTTTTCTCGATTCTGTCCACTTTTTCATGCTACATGAAGTATGGCAAGTTCCACTACCACATTTCTGTGCGAAGTTCTACATTTAAATTCAGTGAATTAGATTTATCTGAGAGAAGTTTTAATGTCAGTCGTGCAACTTTAGTGATTTCCAAGTTAGGTTTAACTGTAACTTATCGATGTTGAGGACTAATCAGCTGTTACAGCCTCATTAAAACTTTTCATGCATTTCTGCGTTGCACTATTTTTGGATATATCTACAGTTAGGTATAAATCAGTAGTTGGCAAAATTTCTTCAAAGTTACAGGATTTCATCATGAACTGACATCAATTGGAGAACCTTTGGAAAACCTGCGGGGAGTCCTGGACAGTTGTTTCATGCTAGTTTGGGACATTTCATCAGCATACATTCACTGGGGTTTGAACCCAGGACCTTCTGGTTACAAGGCTAGCGAGTTCGTAGACCATTAAGCCAGTGAGACCGGATTCAATGACCAGTCCATGGATTCCAACTTCTGCCGATTCATGATATGGTGCGACCACTAGCGAAGTCATCCTTGGCGAGTATTTGTCCTCACGCCCGAGGTGCTGTACCCTACTGGTCACGATGAAGTGTCAACATTATTTTGTATTGCCTAGTAGAAATGCTTAAAGAACCAAATATACCCCGGCTATTCTTATTTTTGTAAAAGCAAAACAGATTTAGGGAAGAAATATATTCCTTTTCAATTAGTTTCTCATCACATCGGCTAGCTCTACATTAATATGTAGTTTTTTCTTACGTTACAATTTTACCAATCAAGTGGTTATTTTTGCTAATTAGTTTTAGGCATAGGGGGAGAAGATGAATTTAAGGGGTTAAAGGTCATCAAAACAATTAACTAATATGTGTTCGTAACAAGATACATAGGTTTTAAAAGAGGAGTGAAAATTAATTAATTACGGAATTCAGGGTAAGTTAATTCGTAGCTATTAGCAACAAGTTATGACGTAATCAAGCAATTTGTAAAATAGCAAATGATGACTAAGAAGAATAGGATGACTCAGACGAATTATGTAAAATACAAACAGGTTAATAGAATTACCTAGGATTGTAAAAATTAACAAAGTCAAAAGACTTAATATCAATAAAAAGTTTTAGCATTGTGGATTAGATCAAATAAAGTATAATTATATATATTTTTTTTAATAGTTTACACACAATGATAAGTTATCATTGTGTGTAAACTATTAAAAAAAAATCAAAAGACAGTTACAAGGAGAGGGGAGAAAATCGTTTTTAAAAGCGTAATGACGTAATGCATAGTAAGTAGTTGGCCATGGCAAGGGAACGGGGTGAACAAATTTCTTTAGAACACACAGATTTGGGTTGTTCAGATGAATTTCGATTACCTATGTCGTATGTAAAGGTGGTACTGGTAGACCATGTGAGAGGTTGGATGACATACGACAAATAACTTTATACGCTTTGTGTTAGTGTGAGTCGGCATGATGCCCAGCCAGTATTGACGAGATGGGCTACTATTGATTTGAGAATGGCCTTATTCGGACCTCTGCCAAACCCAGATGGGAGGTGTTCAGAAATTCGACGATGAACTTGTCTGAGCGTACACCCAACGTAACTAGCTCGGCAGGAGCAGTTAAACTGGTAAATACATATATATATATATATATATATATATATATATATATATATATATATATATATATATATATATAAATACATATATAAATACAGTGGTTCTCTAACTGATGTCAGCTCATGATCAAATCCTCCATGCAATCAAACAAAATCCCTACAACAAAAAAGAAACCAATACATATAGAAGAGACGAAACAGGGCAATCTGTCTCTACTTCTTGTCTTGATCGTGATGCTTTAATCATAACGATCATCAAATATTCTTACATATATGAAAATAGGTTGATTAGTCTTTCAGCTAATAGAAAATGTCATCATAATTGATTATGTAATATGCTTTTATTGTAGGTCTCCAAAATTCAATAAATTCTTGTCACGTATTCTTCAAAAGGATCCAAATCAACGACCAGAATGTAAAGATCTTTTATTAGTAAGTTCAAAATTGTTTTGTATGCGTAGTTCGTTGTCAGAGCCCATAAATATTGTTCTAAAATGACCAATAACTAAACTCTAATTTTATTTATCAGTAAGTATATGGATATAGATATTTACGAGTTTAACCACGGATTGATATCAGTGTTCGCGTTCCTGGAGTTCTAGTGAGAAGTCGTGATCAGTAAAGTCCATCCAGTCAAGTGTGAGGATGGATTTCCCACCGATGACATTGGTTGATGGTCGCGCTAAATCACGAATTAGTAGAAGTTAGAATTCATGGGTTGGCCATTGAATCGGGTCCCGGTGAGTAGCTGAATGGTATACGAGCCAGCTTGCTTTGTAACCGGAAGGTTCTGGGTTCGAACCCTGGCGGTGGGTGCGTACTACCGATGATCCCCAAACTAGGACGAAACAGCTGGTTGTCCAGTACTCCCTGGCTGCTTTTCAATGGTTCTCTCACTGATATCAATCCCTGGTCAAACTCGTAAAAACAAATTTAATCCTTACAAACCAACTCTTAAATATAGATACATATCAGTGTGGTGTTCTGATTGTACGTAGTGATTTTCATTTTTTGGTTGATGACATTTTTCTGACTTCGCTTATTCCTATAAATTATATTCTCTCTTGTAATATCCCTTAGAACATCAAGTGTGTGATCTGTTGCCGTAGGTGAATGTCTATCAGTTGCGAAATTTCGACTTCTCACCTTTTACCATCTGTCAAAAATTCGAGTTTCCAGACGTCGTCGCACCAAATGTACACCAAATATCGTTGTTTAGATCACTAATTTGTGAATTGTTGTGGTATTACAGTGATGGAACAATATTTGAAAGACCGAATAATGCATAAAGAATATGCCTTTTGCAATAGAAAAGCTAGATCGTCTGTTCTCATTATTAAAAGACCCTGGGGATTCCATTTGCTTCTGAAACCAATCAGGTATATGCTCTAAACCCTTACTTGCAAAGATCGATGAGTCTTCCCTATGTATGTGTGGGGACACATACATTTTCTTTAGAAGATACAGTGGGATTTAATCGAAAATGTTCCACTTTATAGAAGATATATCAACGACATTGTAATCATGAGTGACTTATTTTGCCACCTTGCCTTTAAATCGAATGAATGAAGTTCAGAATAGCATATTACTTACATCTGTAGAGGAGAAAAATAATTAGAAGTTAATTGGAGGATGATGACTAGCAGTGGAATCCAGGATGCGCATTTCATCCTGCTTGGGACTCGTCATCTGGATGTACCTGCATTCCCCAGTGAGTCAGCTTTGGTGTTCCCATCGAGGCTCGAACCCAATGCTGATAGTTTCAAAGGCCAAAGCGTTATCCACTAGGCCACTTGAGCCACGAGAGCCACCTCTTGTGCGATGGGTCATATTAATTATTTAACTCAGTAATTAGAAGTTCTAATTACATGCCCAGACATTGTCGAAGCATTCGCACAAGGAGCCGACATGTCAACTGGAGACCTAGCACTTCGGTCCAATCAATCGACGGGAAAATATAAAATTGAATTAGAGAAAGATAATTGTTTATCTTTCCTAGATATATAACCTGGTTGACGGCTTGATGGATCCATAAACTGATCTGTTTATTGCAAAGCTACCTGGACAGGACAGTGTCTTAATTATTACAGCTGTTGTCCTGTTCGGTATGATAAAAGAACCTCAGTTAGGTGCCTCTTCGGTAGAATTCAAAGAATATGTTCAGAAAACAGACTTGAAGATGAAGGAAGAAAACTCGCACAAACGATCGTTTTTTATAATAATCATCCAGAAAAGTTCATAAGGAGATATAAAGTGGTCAGAACACCAAAATCCATTCTCCAACTCGCCTCTAAGAAAGACGTATATATCAAGTTACCCCAAATGAGTGATCCTAACAGTTTGGTAACTAGACAAAGATTGTACGCTGCAGTTAAAAAGACCTTTTATAAAGCTAAGATCATATTATTCACAGAAAACACCCATCCAGGCATGAATATAAGAAGGAAAAAGTTCAGCGAAGAGTCTCTTTTCAGCAGCGAGTTCATTCACGTAGTTGCACCCTCCCATGTATATATAATTATTTTGCGTGTGTGTGTGTTGTAGACTTCCAGGCTAGGGTCCTCGGGACGGTAAAAATCTATGGTTGGAAACAATTGGTGACATGGCTCAAACACATCGTTCTCAGTGGCGCAGATGCATCCACTCCTTGTGACTTATGATCTCCAATGAAACTGTTTTGTTCTTCGTTATTACTCCTCCTTTGTCTCACCCCTCTGCTCACTGTCTCTATTATGCATTTCTTCTACCTTCTTCTCTTGCTTCGCGTGCTACACGGAGTGTGGCGACTTGAACTGGCGCACATTTGTGCAATGTTCTATGTCGAAAACAGACAGACAGACAAACAGCGTGTGTGTGTGTACATCAGGATTGTCAAACAAAAATAAAAATTAGTTAGGATTATTGTTTGCGTCATCAAAACGTTTCAAAAATGTGTTGAGTTATCAAATTGTAACTAGGAGGGGGGAAGATTGGTAAGTACTGACAGGGTTGCGTAATATAAAAGACACCCAGAAAAATAGGATGTTAATGGAAGAGCATGGAGACACGAACACAAACTAATTTTTCTTTTTCTTTGCCGATCCTAATGTACAGACGCACAAACATATACGCTAAATAATTATATATGTATAAGCGATAGTGCAGGTAAGTGAATGAATTCTTCGAAAAGAGACTCTTCACTGAACTTTTTTGTTCTAATGATCAGAATAATCATGGATGTGAGGTCCAAATATCCACCTAGGCCCTTAGAACATACGAAGAATGATGTCACATCCTATTGTATCTACCGATTTAAATGTAAGTGTGGCCACACATGCATACGTAGGGAGGACTCATCGATCTGTGCAAGTGAGGGCTTCAGAGAATATACCTTTCGTTAACTTCTTCATCAGATTAATAGCTAAAGAATTGTTGCTACCTACATAATTTACGTTTTTTAAATAACATCGAATCAACAGATACAAGAGCAAGAGCAGGCGGTTAGCTTGGGCACTTTTTCTTTCATTTTGAGCATCACGACCAGGCGTATGGAAAATATGAGTCTTATATATTTATTTTTTTTGTATAGATCAATTCAAATGCTCTTGTGGAGCCGGTTATATTGGCCGTTTTTTGTAGAAAGCTTAATTTTCCTTGATTCAGGTGGTTAAATAAAGGTGCGGAAAAAAAACCCACCAACAGTTCGATATTAGACCCACTGGTACAATCGAGTCATAAGGCCAGTCCTGAAAGAGTCTTTTTCCATTATCTATCTACCGAACGTATACTGCCAAGGACACCTCTCTCTCTCTCTCTCTAGATACCGAATACTCCAAACAGCAGACACCATATTAATTCGTTTATAACAACCGAAACTCTGTGTGCAAAAGAAACAAATGCAGCCACTAATGCTACCCTGGCCTGCTGCTCTGTTACCTGTAAATTCATAAATTCTCTATTCTTAATTTATCTGACATTCTGTTTAGTATTACATTATTTTTGTGGATATTGTCACCTACGGATGCTTCGTTGATCCTAACGATTCGAGGTTATTTAAGATATTGTAATGTTTTCAAATAAGGATAACTCTTTAACTATTATGAACATATGACTGTAGAGCCTAGTGAATAATAATAATAATAATAAGTTATCTAAGGGAGTGTTCTTTGCTCACTGCTGATCAATTCATTCATCTTTGAGTAGTTCATACTGTGAGTTTAGGTTGTGAAAGATATTTCCGAATAATTAGTCTTTTAGTTCTCTTGAGTAAAACATTAAAATTTTACTCCTTCAGTGTTTTTACACTGACTGACTAACTGGTTTCAACATAGAACTTTACACAGATGTGCACCAGTTCCAGTCGCCACACTCCATGTTGCACAAAAATCAAGAGAGGAAAGTAAGAGGAAATGCAAAATAGATACAGTAAACAGAGATATGAGGCAAAAAGAATAATAATATCGAAGAACAATATAGTTTTATTGAATATTACAAGTCCCAAGGAGTGGATGCATCTGCGCCAGCCATCCATTGAGAACGAAGATTTTGAACCATATCATTGATTGTCTGCAGCCCTCATTGGTTTTTACCATCCCGAGAACCCCAACCAATCAAGTTGACTACACCTCCCTACGTGATTGGCTTAAACCGACTGTTATGGATTTCATGGACTTATGCCATGTTTTGGTTTGACCACCACTAGCTGTCTCTTTTCCAACCTGATTAATCCTATTTCAGTCAGCTAACATCACTCGTCGAGGAAGGCGATCGATGTCTAGGCAGTCATACGTAACACATGTCCTTGCCATTTCAGTCGATGTAACTTCACAACATTATCAATTCATTTCCGCTCCTTACCCAGAACTCGGTGCCTGACCTCAATATTTCTCACCCTATTATACCACAACCTAACACGGGAGATAGAACGCAGGCACCTATGATCAAAGACAGCTAGCCTGGCTTTTCATGTCTTCCACTCTCAATAGCCAGGTCTCACAGTCAACCACAAAGGAGGACGGAGCGGACTGCTGAGCAGTATGCACGTCCTTTGGTCGACAATAGGATAGTAGTGTATAGTATTGAAGAAAGTACAGTGCATGAATATGTACGTGTATAATAGGTCATATGACTGTTGCATAATGGTTTTACGTGTAAACCAGCTTTCCTGTGTATACAATATAGAGTCCCACAGACTGAATGGTCAAACAGCTCGTCTTGTAGTAACCTGAATGTCCTGTATTCAATCCCCGGTGGTATAAGGTCATGGATATGTCTCTTGCTGTGAAGATTCCAAAACAAGGACAAAACATTTGTTCAGCACTCCCTGCTGTGCTTTCCAATACTTTCCTAACTGAAATTAGTCACTTCGTGTAATCAACAAACTTAAAATCTATGGGATCTCTAAATACCAGTACTTAAAAATAAAATTATAATGGCTTGATTGTTTTCCACGCAGGCTATATTGAAAATTTAAGCTTTTCTTCCAGGTAGTGAGGCATAAGTACAAAACTGCTTTCTTTGTCTGTTTTTGTCATTAATACGTAAATTTTTGCGTTTGTCAATTTGTCAATAGGCAAGTAGAGAAACAACAGGCTTTTTGTTTTAGGCCAAAATGAATAATAATTCAACCTGGTATCAGACATATGTCAATCATACTGTGAATTTGCTGCTTCACCCACCATCAAAAGACAAAAGTATGCGAATTTTGGTTAACGGCTGGTAATTAGTGTTACTGTCTAGACCTAATCAGCCCTAATATACCCATTAAACTCCTCATATGAGGGACTGACTGTCGATTGACTCTTCTGAATAGCTTAGCCCAGGAAATCCCGTCTAACAGTTCACATAGTGTGATTGATAGATACACGAAAGTTTAATTCCATTCATTATGGGTAAAATTTATTTTGAGGTAAAGTCTCACAGTGTTATACACTAATATTTACTGATGACGTTTCAAGAACAATTTATTGGGTGTAGATTCACTCGATGAACAAAGATTCAGTAACGAACCTCTCTCTCTCCACCTATCTAGTTTACTTTTTAGAATTTTAACCCTCTCACACCATGCTACTGTGTAGTTGTGTGTTAATGCATGTAGTGCAGTGTAGTGCTGAGCTTTTTTCTAAATTACTTATCCTCTCAGGGTCGACCATTCTTATCTTAGCTAACTTCTTATGTTACGACAATCTGACTACCTTCGACCTACTAGTTTGACCTATGTAGTTGACCTAACTCACAGTCATCGCAAGGTACTTTGTGAATTATATTATTTTGTCTAATTTGGTCAATTTACAGGTTTCTTTATCCTACAGAGCATGTTTCTGAGTGAGTTTGTAGGTTTGAATGCCACTTTAATTCCTGCTTTATTTCGAATCCTACGTAGGGTCTCAGATGTCCCCTCCTTATGTCGTATAACGTTGGATGACTTATATTGTCTCTTATTTATGTTATCATTACTAGGTTCGCAATTACTTTTATTTTGTTTTTGGCCTTTACTGATCTTCCTAATGAATGTTATAGAATAGGTATTTGATACCAACGCTTCTTCTATCTGTTTTATTTCATCATTTGGGTCTTTTCTTGTACTTCTTAGTGCTATTGCTCGGTTTGTTAAACACTTAACTAAGCCTACTTTTACAGACAACGGGTGAGGTGAATTAAAGTCTAGATATCTTTTAGAAAGTTTAACCATTTATTTAAGCTTTATACCTAATATTTACTATTGTAGATTGATTTTCGGAAAAGGAAACTGATCTATGTGTAGTAATTATTTATGATTATTATTTTATCTTTCAAAGGTGATAGATTTCAGAGTGTAGACGACAGCTGTTGGATTTTTAATCATTCTTTTTCAAATGTGTGCGTCGGTGGCACAGTGGTTAGGACTCTCGCAGACTATGCACATGGTCCGATGTTCGATTCCCTGCCGACGCACACCTGATATCAATAATCCCATGAAAAGACATGAAAAGGTTGACTGCTTTCGATCATAGATGTCTGCGATCTCTTTCTCACTTTAGGTGGCTTAATAAGGTAAGTAATGTTGACGTTAGGCGTAGAGTGTTGGGAACAGAGGGAAAATCAATCGACGAGGCTATAAAGTTACATAGATTGAGATGGTTAGGTTATGTGGTGCTCATGCCTAACCATCGCCTCCCCGACGGGCATTACTAGCTGATATAGGTGTAGGTTGGAAAAGAGCCAGTGGTGGCCGAACAAAAACATGGCCTCATCAATCCATGAAATCCTTGACAGTTGAACTGAGTCAGGTAGGGAGATGCAGACTTCCTGACTGGTTGGGGCCCTCGGGACTCTAGGAATTAATGGCTGGAGACAATAGGTGACATGGCTCAAAATCGTTGTCAATGGCCAGCGCAGATGTATTCAGTCTCTGTAATCTTTCATATTCCTTTCTACCATTACCCATTCTGTTTCAATCTTATACTTGTCAGACTGTATTGATTCTCTTCACTCATCTTCTTGTATACCTTTGTGTGCTATTTGGAAGGTGGCAACTCGAACTGCTGCACTTCGGTGCGAAGTTCTATGTTGAATCCAGACAGGGAGATATCAATAATCGGCCTGATAATTTGGGCTACCGATATCACAAGCTGAAAATTCCTTACTTGTACCAAAAATACAGTGTGGAATCAAGCTGTAATCAAAATTTAAAAAAATGTAAAAAGATACCAATAGAATATTTGTATTCTAATCAAATTGAAGGATCTGTTGTCCACCGCAAATATCACTCGATAGCCAATTGCATTTCTATGTAGTTGGTCTACCAGTTGTGTGTTGTAATATCTAGCTGTCCAAATCTCAGCAGGTAGAGCGGCGTTTGAATCCGTGACTCCAGTAGTTGCAAGTTCAGAGTGTCAAAACCAATGAACAAGAACTCCACAAAACACAGGCGTGTGTTTATTTTTGTTCCGAAGCTTCTGGGGGTGGGCACTTCTGTCTAAATCCACCTTTGTCCACCTGTTTGTAATAATCAAAAGAGTTATGGAGTTATGGTCAATTGGTCTACGCGTGCTCGACTTTTAAGCAGTGGGTCACTAAGGTGTATGGGTAGCCAAGTTTTATTATTGTCCTTCACACAATAAGAATGGCTGATTACCATTTGCATGGTATTGCAGGTGGTTGTTGAGTAATGTTTCAATGGTCAAAGAGAAATGGTTATTTTCTCTTTAATTTTGCCACGCTGATCGAATTATTATTATTATTATTATTATTATTATTATTATTATTATTACTGTTCCCTTGGGTTCCGAGTGGGACATAGGGTCTAAACAGCACGTCTTATTCTCGCTGTCCTCTTTGGATGGCCCCATGATTTCCCATAATCTCTCATCTCCTCCTTGCATGGTCTCCTCCATGTCACCCTCGTACTTGTGCCCAACCCGTCGTTTTCCATTTAGGTTCCACCTTATGGTGTTCAAGAATTGAACCATTGGTTTGTCTACACCATGTTCTTAGGGTCTAGCTGGAAAAAAGCTAGCGGCGGTCAAACCGAAACATGGTACCAGTCAATGAAATCTACAACAGTTAGTTTAAGTCAGCCACGTAGGAAGATGTGGACTTCCTGGTTGGGGTCCTTGGGACGGTAAAAACCAATGAAGGCTGGAGACAATTGGTGATATGGCTCTAAATCGTTCTCAATGGCTGGCGCAAATGCATCCACTCCCTGTGACCTATGATTTCCAATAAAACTATATTGTTCTTCGTTATTACTATTTCTCTGTCTCGCACCTCTGTTTACTGTCTCTAATATGCATTTCTTCTACTTTCTTCTCTTGCTTTATGTTGTGCATGGAGTGTGGCGACTCGAACTGCCGGACATCAGTACAAATTTGTATGTCGAAAACAGACAGACGAACAGACCATGTTCTTACAAATCATACCGCATCAATAGGAAATTTTTTTCAAAATTGTATATGAGGTAAGGTCAAGCCAATAGCTTGGAGCCCTATGTTCCACTGGGGAACGTGAAGGAAAAAAAACATTCTAAATGTGACTCGTTTGATCAGTGTTTCTGTTTTCAATAGCTTGTGAGATATTTAATAGTAATCATTTCTGAACGATACTCAACACTTAATTGTTTTTAGATTACGTAATCTATTCCTTTTCTTAATATATCTTGTTACCAGCTGATGATATTAAACAATTGACGTAGGTGGGCATTTTTCGGACGTTTTGAAACGCTACACATTACTGTACAGTTTTGAAGTTATGAGAAGAGTATCCTTAGCTGACTCATATCTTATTTTAATTCTACTTTTTTGTCTATATTCTATATTTGTTATTATAAAGGATCCATTTGTATCTGATGTAAAGGAGAGTGATCGTAAGGTGATCCAAATATTGTTATGTGAAGCCAATGCAGATATTATAGAGACTGTTGAAGATCTTGATCCAAATGAACCTGTAAGTAGTGTTTCTTTTTTTATTTGATATATTTATTATTATTAATATTTTTAGTCCCTTGGGCTCCAAGTGAAATATAGTCTCAACAATACACCTCCATTTCATCATGTTGTCCGCAGTCCTCTTTATAGCTAACTCCACGACTCACCATCAGCTCTCATCTCCTTCTCACACGATCTCCACCACATCACCCTTAGATGTTCATTTTGTCTTTTTTCCGTTCGGATTTCACTTGAAGGTCAACCTGACTTCTGATGTTACTCATTGGTCTCCACAGCATGTATATCTTTATTTGAGTATTATTATTATTATGCATAATTGACAATATTTTTCATATAAGTATGAAAGGGTTGATAGACATTTAAAAAACATGCCTAAGCCTTAAGCCTCTTCGTATATATATATATATATATATATATATATATATATAATTCCTTTATGTTTCCAGTGAAACAGGCCTCTAGGCTAGAGTATTTTTGAAGTTTCGGTAGCAGTGGTATTTATTTTCACTGGATGGGGTTGCTAGCCTCATGCCCAACCTTCCCTCTTTACCAGTCTTATTACTGGTATAGCGAGGTAAAGGAGTGCGTTGTTGGCTGGGGATCGAACCTCAAACCACGTGAGCGTTGTTGGCAAGCATTCTACCACTGTGCCATCGACGCGATACACATAAAATACTACAATTTTAATACATATATATGTATATATATGTAATATACAAAAACACTTATGTTACTATGGTCGTGTATTGATTGTCAACATATCCAAAAATGTAATTAGAGTCTGATCAGATATATGTAAGCAGTTTTAGTGAAACGCATGGATACGATCGAAAACAAGTAGTATTTTGGTGATAGTTTGTAATTAGTTCAAGAGTTATTTTTACTCTTTGTGTGTTTGGGAGCTGTAATAAATCGGATCGATAGCCTGGTATTTTGATGTGGTGGTAGTCGGGCTTGTATATCACAAATGACCCAACGAACCACACTGACTGGAATGAACATTCTTATAGGTCCTACCATACGAAAAAGAGTTTTTTCCATAGCGGTTAGACTTCGAGTAACTAACCATCATAGTGTAAGTGGTTTATCCTATGTTGAGAGGGTGAAGGCGAGAAGTCGTACTATTGGCGAACAGGCGTTTAACAGCAGTAACTTGTTTCCCTCAGATGACCAGCAAGACAGCTATGCTATCTCCACTTGAGGTAGGGTAGGGATCTAGAAAAGGTTGATTCTTAAAAGTGTACATCCTGACTTACTTTAAGGAAGGCTGTAGTTGAACTGAATTCCAAAACCCGACCGTGTGTGAGACTGGCCCCAAACACTTATTTCCTAGGTTCTGTAGTCACACAGCAGCATTAATGCTATTTCTGATTTTAGATATTTCACGATGAAATCAATTTCCACAGTGTGAAGAGGCGCTGGGAAGTAATAAGCACACTTTAGGATAGTCATAATAACGTGTGTACTTACAGTTTTATCAAATAAGGTTACTAATCTGGCCGCTATGTAAACCAAATCTCATTTTAGAGTAACGATTTATGTCAGGGAGATATATGTTACATATATTTTTTTGCTACTAGTACAAGCTGAATGCTATTCACACGTAAAGGGGAATGATGAGTCACACAGAAATAGGAATAACGGCACCATAGACAAAGACATTAACAAGCATGCGAAGGACTAGGAGGATTAGTCAGATTAATGGTTTGTTTTTTAGTTCCCAAAACCGCTCTTAAGGTGTATTTTAATCAAAGTTGTAATTTAATGACCCCGACTGTCGGCTCTCATAGAGTAAATCACAGTTTCAAAGTCGGCAAACATTCGCATCACTGCGTCTAACGCATAGACATTACCTGTGTGTTCCGATTTGAATTAAAGAGTTGGTTACGGTGTACTTAGTTGTTCACTTTGGTAGTGAGCACCACGCATGCACACACAATTGGATTTAGGGGTGTGTGATAACGTCTCATTGATTAAAACAAAAGGTGATGTTAGTATATGTTTTGTGTATGCGTGTGTGTGTGTGTGTGTAATTGTAGTTGTTTTCTCACAAAGTTATCGTACCCAATTGCTTGATTGAAGTATCTTCAGTTTCTATGCTACACAGATTAATTTCTTATGGAAATACCTAAGACGAAAGGAAAATTGAAAATATTTGTTTCCCAATACGAGTTTTAAAATGAGCAACAAAGATTAATAAAGCAGGATTTAATGAATTCATCAAATTCCGATAGAACTCGTCAGCTGAATACTCTACATACACGGATATATATGGACACGATTGAAATTACATTGGGAGATATAAGACTGATAAATAAACAAACTACATTGAATTAGTTATACAGAAAGACAGGTGTGAATGTTTTCCAGGTTATGTTCAAATAGATGAAGGGAGAGGGAGTATGAAAGATTTAAATTGAAATAAAATGCATTAAGCTTCAATTACTTCGCCGTATACTGAAGATCAGATGGCCGGGCCGGAAAGAATTACCAACAAGAAACTATGGCTGGGAACAAACAAAACAAGAACCAATCGCCAACCAACAAATATTCAGGAGAAAGTGGAGATGGATTCGACACTCACTCAGTGAGGAGGCCGCTGGGTGACATCGCGCGCGCGTCAGGCCATTGCTCGAGTGGAACCAGGCCAAAAGGGAAGCGGCGAGTGGGATGTCCAAGGATGGGTGACATGGAGGAGATCGTATAAACAGGAGTTGAAACAGTATGGACTAGCATGGATGCAGGTGAAATGTACAGGAGAAGACAGAAGCAAGTGGAGACGTGCAGTTGAAGCCCTATGTTCCACTAGGAACCCAAGGGAACAATAATAATAAGCTTCATTTACACCACTTGGATAAACAATTATTAACTAGAGAATATATCAAGAATTGAAACAGAGTAATATCAATAGTAATAGTTATAATAATAATAAGAGGTAGAATAATAAGTAAAATGTATCACCATGGTAGATTCAGTGGGACAACCATCTGCTTTTGTATACAGAGACCTGGTTTATAAACTCAAATTGCACAAACCTCTGCAAATACCAGCAACTTCCTATTTCTTTGTTTGCTGACAATAGCCACGTCAGTATCATGTCCATAGTCCACAAGATATTTTGTTATATTGAGGTTTTTGGCACTTTGCATTCAGCTATTTTCAACCATTTTGGCAGATGCTTCATCATGCGAGTAGACAAATCGCCTTTCTGTACAACCTATATATTTGTGTCATTCCATAAACACACTCAAATTGATATAGGCATTTTGAAGTGTCGAGGATTGGCGACTGGTCTTTCCCAGATTGTTGAAGGACTCGTTTGATGGTGTTAAGGAAAACAAGTTTTGCAGCATAATACGTTCTCTTGATAGCTTTATAGAGTCTTCGTTTGGCTACTACTTCTTGTACATCATCTCCTTTGAATGGCAAAATGATATAGACAGATTTCTTTGGAACTGTTTGAATAGTTTGGAGAATTACTGTTATGTAACCACGGAGCAGAGTTCAGGGAACAACTGCTTGAGGCCGGTCACACACACCCACATACGGCCTGTTTTCAGTGTTGTGTCCACAGTAAGATCTTATCACTGGCTATTGACCGCTTCAGGGTAAGTCAGGATGTATGGTTTTCGGGGTCGATCTTTTCTAAAGCCTCCTAGCCCCCCACTCTCTCCAGAGAGAGAAGACATATGTAAAGTGGCATAATAAGGTGAGCAACATTGAAGTTAGGCGCCGAGTTCTAGGTAAACAGGGAAATCAATCGACGAAGTCGTGAAGCTACAAAGACTGAGATGGTTAGGACATGTGTTACGTATGCCAAGCCATCGCCTCCCTGGACGAGCAATGTTAGCGGATATAGGATCAGGCTGGAAAAAAGCTAGCGGCGGTCAAACAAAAAACTTGGCACCAGTCAATGAAATCCACAACAGTTGGTCTAAGCCACGTAGGAAGGTGTAGACTTCCAGGCTGGGGTCCTCGGGACGGTAAAAATCTATGGTTGGAAACAATTGGTGACATGGCTCAAAACCGTTCTCAGTGGATAGGACAGATGCATTCACTCCTTGTGACTTATGATCTCCAATGAAACTGTTTTGTTCTTCGTTATTACTCCTCCTTTGTCTCACCCCTCTGCTCACTGTCTCTATTATGCTTTTCTTGTACTTTCTTCTCTTGCTTCGCGTGCTACACGGAGTGTGGCGACTTGAACTGGTGCACATTTGTGCAAAATTCTATGTCGAAAACAGACAGACAGACAGAGAGAGAGAGGGAGAGAAGACAGACAGCATTTTCTTCCCAGCTGGGAAATACCCTACTGCTATTATGTCGTTCATTTTCTTCAACAGTACGAGTTCTCCTGAGCAACTCTTACACATTTTGATGATGACTGCTTTCAGTTTATCTAGATGATATCCAAATAACTTTTCTGGAATGGTAGGACCAGTGGAGAATATTCATTGAATTACTGTGATATAGGGGATGCATAGCGGTTAGGACACTCGCCGACCATGCACATTGTCCGGGGTTCGATCCCCGGCCGGCACACTCCTTTACCTCACTCAACCAGAAGTAAAAGCTGGTTAAGAGGAAATGTTGGGCATCCTGTAAAATAAACACCACTGCTACAGAAACGTCAAACCTCTGGCTTGAAGCCCTATGTTCCACTGGCAATGTGAAGGAAAAAAAAGAAGGGAAGGCCCTTTCACCCTCACCAAAACCACATTTTATTTATTTATTTTTTTATTTACAGCTTAATTCCACACTGTATTTTTGGTACAAGTATGGAATTTTCAGCATGGATATCGGTAGTCCAAATTTTGCAGGCCGACCATTGATATCAGGTGTGCGTCGGGAGAGGATCGAACCTCGGACCATGTGCATGGTTGGCGAGAGTCCTAGCCACTGTGCCACCGATGCACCATGAGAAGATAGCAACTATCGTTCTGATATATCTATATTTTAATGTACACTTTTCCACTTATCGATTATTCTTCAGATTTT